AACCGCATCGGTCCGCGATAGTCCCGTGGCCCGAAGCCGGGCGAAAACGCCCGGCGTGCAAACAAATGCAACGCCCAGATCTCAAGTCGGCGACTCCGACGGGTGCGGCTTGCGAAGGCCAAGGCCGCGCTAACGGCGTGGTTGGTTAACGGTGCGGTTGGGGATTTGGTTGGTGTGACACCGAGCTCGCGCAGAACACGAGGTAGGACATCAAGAACCACCGCTTCCTACATTTCAGGTACGCTCATGCATCAAACGTCACAGCGAATTGTGGGAAAACGCGAACCACGCGCTCCTACAAGTGGCTTGGCCGCGAGCCATGCTCTCCTACGGCTGATTATCCTACATCCTTGGCCGCGAACCATGCTTTCCTACAAGTGGTTATCCTACATCGCCGTTCCCTAACACGCCGTGAACGCGCTTACTTTTTTTAGTCAGCGGCCGCAGGCGAGAGCGCCAGCGGCGATTCCAGTCAGAGCGGGCCGCGCAAAGACGAATTAACCTAAAGCGGTGGGCCAGAACCTCACGTGAGCGCGTTTGCGGACAGGGTGCGGCCTGCAACCCGCACACCGGGCCCGGGCGAGGACCCCGGCCGAGTGCTCCGCGCCGCGCCCCGAGGAGGCCCGACCGAGGGGCACCGCGGCGCCCCCTTTCAGCCCCGACCGACGCAGACAGCAAGCCGCACCCCGGCGCATCCACACCAAAGGGGCCCAGGGACACACAGATCAGCAGGCACAAGTCCCAGGATCTCCCACATGTTCTGTGTGTTTTCTGGGTCCTCGTCTCCCCCCCCACACCTCCCACAGATTCCCATACTCTCCTGGGAATCGACGACCAATTGTGTCTGAGTGTTGCTTCCCCTCCCGACGCACCCCTTGCATCGATGAAGCGCACGCCTGGATTCAGGCAACGGGGCTCAGCGACGGGCGCCGCCTCCATAGAGGATCGGCGCGCTCCGACGCCAAACGAGGCGGCCCTGGCCTCATTTTTTGGGGGGGTCCCTTCCCCGATCCGTGGATCCGGCGCCCACGCGCCAGATCCATGGACCCCTAATCCATGTTAGCGTGCGTCGTCGCCGAGATGGGCGTCGTCGTCGTCATCGTCGTCGTCGTCGACCTCGTCGAACTCGTCGTCGTCGACGACCTCGTCGTCGTCGTCGTCGTCGTCGTCGTCGTCGTCGTCGACCTCGTCGTCGTCGACCTCGTCGTCGTCGACCTCGTCGTCGTCGACCTCGTCGTCGTCGACCTCGTCGTCGTCGACCTCGTCGTCGCCGTCGTCGTCGTCGTCGTCGTCGTCGACCTCGACCTCGTCGACCTCGTCGTCGTCGTCGTCGTCGTCGTCGTCGTCGTCGTCGTCGACCTCGTCGTCGTCGTCGTCGTCCTCGTCGTCGTCGTCCTAGTCGTCGTCGACCTCGTCGTCGTCGTCGTCCTCGTCGTCGTCGTCCTAGTCGTCGTCGACCTCGTCGTCGTCGTCGACCTCGTCGACCTCGTCGTCGTCGTCGTCGTCGTCGTCGTCGTCGCCGAGCAGGGGTCCCTCGCCCGCCCACGCCCCAGCGGTGGCCGCGGGGCGCTGAGGCGGCGAGGCCGGGGCGGCGGAGGTTCCTGGCTGCGGGGATAGCCAGGCGGCCACCGCGGACCACTCCACGCCGTCCTCCGCGCGCTCCAGCACCAGGTCCTCGCGGGGTCGACGTCGCTGCCGCCGCCGCACCTCCTCCTCCTCCTCCTCCTCTCCTTCTCCTCCTCCTCCTCCTCCTCCCCCCTCATCCTCCACCTCCTCCTTCCTCCTCCTCCTCCTCCTCCTCGCTCCCTCCTCCTCCTCCTCCTCCTCCTCCTCCTCCTCGCTCCCTCCTCCTCCTCCTCCTCCTCCTCCTCCTCCTCCTGCTCCTCCTCCTCCTCCGCCACGCTTCCTTTCGTCCTTTCGTCCATGGGCGCCCGCTCGTCCAACCGAGCGGACGCCGCCACGCTGCGGCCCTCAGCGGCGGGCACTCAGTACCTGAGCTTTGCCGAACTCCCCGTCCACGAAGGATCAAGGGGCACTCCAGGCCCAAGACAAGTGTGGGTGCCGTAGTCGAGTCCGTGGGCCAACACCACAGACCGCAACCACAGCAAAGGCCTCGGCCCGAAAGGATACGAGCACTCCATCCACGCAGAAATCACAAAGACTGACTCGATCCATAGGCACCCCAGGCCCTAGAAATGTGGGAAAGGCCGATGCCCACAGAAGACCTCCTCCTCGCTTCCTCCTAGCTTCCTCCTAGCTTCCTCCTCCTCCTCCTCCTCCTCCTCCTCCTCCTCCTCCTCCTCCTCGGACGACCCGGCGGGCGAGCGGAGAGCGGCAGCGAGGCGGCGGCCGCAGAGCAGCGGCGGCGCCAGGCGCCGGCCGCCAGCGGGCGGGTCCTCGCAGGCGCCGGCTGCCGCGAGCAAGCGGCCGCCTCCTCCGCCGCCTCCGCCGCCGCCGCCGCCGCCGCCGCCGCCTCCACCTCCGCCCTGGCCGCCTCCGCCTCCGCGGGGCCGAAGCACGACGACAGACGGCCGAACCCCACTGCTGGCGCCGTCGTCGTCGTCGTCGTCGTCGACGACGCCTCCGCCGCCGCCGCCGCCGCCGCCGCCGCCGCCGCCTCCGCCGCCGCCGCCTCCGCGGGTGGGCGGAGGCACAGTCATCGCACTGCCGCAGGCAACGCCGAGCAAGGAGCCGAGGGGCTTGTTGGCCACGGCAGGCCTCGGCCGAGAAGACGCTCCCGGACGTGAGTCTAGGTCCGAGGAACGGCCCGAAAATCCGACCCCCCCCCCGTCGTCGTCGTCGTCGTCGTCGTCGTCGTCGTCGTCGTCGTCGTCGTCGTCGTCGTCGTCGTCGTCGTCGTCGTCGTCGTCGTCGTCGTCGTCGTCGTCGTCGTCGTCGTCGTCGTCGTCGTCGTCGTCGATCTCGTCGTCGTCGTCGACGTCGTCGTCGTCGTCCTTCGTCATTCGTCGTCGTTCGTCGTCATCGTTGCTCGTCTTCGTCGTTTGTCGTCGTCCGTCGTCTTAACCGTCGGTCGTCGTGCGTCATCGTCGTCGTCGTCGTCGCCCGTCGTCGTCTTCCTTTAGGGTCAGCGGCACCGGCCTTAAGGCCTTCGCAATCAGACCCCCCCCGTGGGCCCAGAACGGTCTTGATTTGAGCGTATTGACTGTATCTGCGCTGCGCCCGATGCTCGGGTAGCCTCCTGGGTCCGCGGCATTGTATGGTCCTCTTGCGCCCTGCACTGCACGCTTGCCGCTCTTACTGCACTGCCTCCCCCCATCTTACCGCGGGGCAATTCGCGCTTGCCTCCTCCTGGCCCGCTCAAAACGCGCGTGCGGACTGCCTCTGCCGCGCTGCGACTTGAAACGAAAAAAGTGTGCAGCCCCACGCCGGCGGCCTTCCATCGACGAGGCTTCATGGCAAGTGCCGATGGCGCGCTCCGCGAGTTGCTTGCTGAGTCGGACCAGCCCGCCAGGAAAAAGCAAAAGACTGCGCTGCGCCTGCTGAGCCGCGGCGGAGAAGGAGCCGTGATCTCTGCCGAAGGGGACGGAGAAGGCAGGAAGGAAGGAAAAGCTTGGATGGAGAAGGGAGGGAGGGCGGGAGGAAGGGCGGAAGAAACGGAGGATGAAGACGAAGGCAGGAGGGAGGTGGGAGGAGAGACGTCGTAGTCGAACGGCGGTATGGCTGAGGTCAGCGCACTCGGCAGGATGAGAGAGGAGGGAGGAGGGAGGGGTTGTGGGGGTGGGAGGAGTGAGGCAATCAAAACAACCGCAGTCTTACCATCAGGAAAGGGTGTTGAGGTGCTCAGCTGGGGGCACCTAAGGAACACTTCTTGATCCGCCGCTCCAACTAAAGGGAGAGGGGGAAAGACAGAGGAGGATCGCAAGACGTGAGCATCGCTGAGGTGCCGCGCGCGCTCTGTCAAAGGTCGAACTCACTCGCAACGACGCCGAGGAGGAGGAGGAGGAAAAGGAGGGAAGGAGGAGGAGGAGGAGGAGGAGGAGCAGGAGGAGGAGGGAAGGAGGAGGAGGAGGAGGAGGAGGTGGAGGAGGAGGAGAATGAGGATGAGGATGAGGAGGAGGAGGAGGAGGAGGAGGAGGAGGAGGAGGAGGAGGAGGGGAGGAGGAGGGGGAGGAGAAGGAGGAGGAGGAGGAGGAGAGGAGGGGGGGGCGCAACGATGCCGCCATACCCAAGCCGCTGCTGGGTTGAAGCAAAACGACCGTCAGACAAAAAATCTGCCTGCGGTCGGGCGCTTCCCCCTGGAGCCCACCGAGCCCCCAGCACCACCACTGCCACTCGAGATTCACCTCGGGGTGACAGGGGGAGGCGAAGGGGAGGAGCGGGAGGAGGACGAGGAGGAAGGGGCGGGGGGGAGGGAGGGAGAATTGGAGGACGGGGGGGTGGAGAGAAAAAGGACGGCGACGGCGATAACGGGCAAGAGTGGGTGGAATGTGAATGGGGGGGCGGGAAGGAATGGAAGGCGGAAGGAGGAAACGTGAGAGGAGGGATGGGACGGCGAAGCAAGCAGTAAAAAAGGAAGGGACGGAGGAGTGGTAAAGGGAGTGGGGGTCATGATGATAAGGAGGAAAAGTCGAAAACACACTGGTAAGCTTAGGTATATATTACGCCTTAGGCGTTCCCATATCCCAGGCTTTGGCTCATATCGCATGAGCAAGAGAGCAAGACGAAGCATGGGATCTGGAGTAAAGGATAGGATGGGCATCGTCAATGGAAAAGGTATTTTCCGATCTCTGATGCAAGTCGTGCGCCTCGGTGAGGCACAATCACATATTTGGCCGGGCCCGGCTTGAGCCAGGCACGGCAGCGGTACATGCTCGATTTATACCTCGCCTTTAACCTTCTCCGTTTAAAGTCGGAGGGGGAGGAGACGAGCAGGCACCGCACTTCTACATTACGCGGAAAAACAGTGCTAAGCAGCAGCGGCTGCCTACAAGGCAAGGGCGCGCGAGTAGCCTCGCTACCGGCGAGTTTCCTCGCTACTAGAGCGCACTTGCACGCGGGTTTCCCCGCTAGCTCGGGAGGCAGGGCCGTCCTGAGACGACCTGCCCGCCCTATACGGTGTATGTTTCTTCAGCTCGTGCTTGAAGGATTGCTGGCCGGCCATTACTTGTAGGAGCAACGCGCGGTCAATACTACCTTTGGTATGACCATCGGCAGTCATATCCCGCGTGTCACACCATTGAACGCTTTCAACGATTCCGCGCTCCATCATCTGGCGGATCCAGCTAATGTGCCCAAGCAGAGTACATTCTGTGGGCTTCTTCAGATCTTTGCTAGACAAAGACTTGAAGACAGACTCGGCATCAATAGTCAGAGTGACTTTGATACATAGACCACCCATTTCCAATATGTTCTTTAACTGTGTGGGGGTCAATGGTCCCGAGTGTAGCTCGTGGAGCGTTACAATGGTCGGGTAGCAGTCTTCCAAGTTGTGGGCTGCTGCCAGTGTTTCCGCAGAGTAGCTCGAACGCACCTGCAGTCGATGAGACTTGCAGTATGCGTCCACCAGGTGCACGACGGGTTTCCCCGCTTGCGTGTGGCCACGCCTCAGCAGGTTTGCCCCGCGGATACCATAGCCTTTGACTTCGTCGTCTTCATCTCCGTTGAGACGACGATAGCCAGAATCGCTATGCAGGTCGACTTCTCCTGTTGGGGTCATAGCTTGATACACGATCTTCTTCGGACCTGCCTGTAGTTTCCTGGTAACCGCGTTTAGTCGTCGTACCTGGATGTTTGTCGGTTCCTGGATACGTTGTAGTGAGACAACATAGACCATCAGCCATACCTGCGTGATCAACGCATAGGCTAGAGCGCCACGAAGACTGACGAACATATCAGAAATCGTCTTTGTCGCTTTGCTCTCAGGATCAGCTCCTGTGAGTTCTGGATGTGTGATAGGACGAAGCTGTTTGATGTATTCGTCCTGATCAAGAGTGACGCTCCCATCATCGGTCTTGTTATACCGAACGGCACAGTTTGTGTATGTGTGCTTGTTCAGTTTGCACTTCCCAAACGTATCTTCAACACACTTGACATACTTGTCAATAGCCTCTTCCTTCCCAGTCATATTGATGTCATCAACGTGCTTGGCTGTCAAGAGGTTTGAGCTCATCTCGAACTCTTCGTCGTATGAAGTAGGCTGTAGCCCAAAGCTCCTAGTGATGGACCTGAGCTTCAGCGAGAATGCCCTGGGGGCATCCTTCGTGCCCGTCCCCGGCTTCAGACACCGAAGACAATGCTTTGATTCGTCATATGACTCAAAGCCTGGCAGTGTGCGAAGGACAGCTGCTGACCCAGGAGGTAGCGTGAAGCACACCACGCGCTCTTTCTCGCCCGTTGCCGCGGCGAGCTCGCTATAGGTCAGTCCCTTCAAGAAAGCCATGTTGATGTCCAGGGAAGCGATGATCCAAGCTTTGTTGCATGCAGCAGAACTTGCGAGCAGTCTCTGGCTTGACCTCCTTGCCGTGCCAGAGAAGGTTTCGACATCAAAGGCTTCAAGGTCCATGAAGCCACGGAGTACCAAGCGTAACCTGATCGTCCTTTCCATTTCGCCCTTTTCGTTCTTGACAAACTTCCATTTGTATACGTAGCGTGAAGTCATGATGTTAGACGCTTTGCTCAAGTCAGTCATCTGGAAGCATTTGTTGTCAAGCCAAGTCTTCAATTCTGTGTAAAGGGCTTTGGAAACTTTGACCGGATTCGCTTGAATGTCGGCCTTCGTGAGTAGATCGTCTTCCTTGACGACCACGGCACGTTTGGAGGCAGCACTAACGTATACTCGCATAGTTGTGACGCTGCTGTCATCCAACAATCGGCGTTGCTGCTCGGACAGGACGACTTTGGACATGTCTGCTGTGAAGCAGAGCTCGATGTACTTCCCGTGCTCATCGGAGTCCAGATCATATTTGCTGTCCGGATCCGTGGAGCATAAAGGAACGTAGTAAGAAGTGTCCATGTCGTATCCTGGCGGGTGACCCCGCTCCGGCAAGTGGCCTTGCACATCTTCACAGGTCGTAGAGACTAACACACACTGTGTGTCTGTCATGTATGTGGGAACTGTATGCATGACTTCTTCTGTGTCAGCTTCAAGGAGTGTTCTGTCATCCATCAGTTCAGCATACCACGACTTCAAGACAAAGGCATCCAGATCTTCTTCTGTTTCCTCTATGATGGTCGGGAGCCGACCATCGTTCTCCGCAGGAGGCTGCTCAGGAGCAGCTGCTGGAGGTGACTCGCTTGGTGGTGGACCATCAGCGAGTTCCTCAAACTTAGTGAGGTCTCGGTCAAATCCAGCAGGCGGCTTCCTGGATTTAAGACACTGGATGATGCGTGAGTGTGTAGATCCTGTGATGTCGTAGATGTTCAAGGCAGTGCCATCAGCTTCATAGTAATGAAAACCAGGGGTCACATCATTATCATAGTGCACTAGTGTACAGCTGTCTGCATAGGGTGCAGCAGGCAACTTCGTCAGGCTCTTGGCAA